TTTGAAATATAAAGCCCGTCGGGTTCAGCTGCACTTCTTACAAAAATATACTGTCTACCGTTTCCATTCAGCATAATGGGCATATTGCCCAAATGCCAATCCTTCACGCTCAAAACATTATCCGTTTTGCTTACTCCCATTTCGTAACCATCCTTTACTCCTTCACGGGTTTGAATGTACGCCATACGGCTGGTACAATCCACCGCTACTTTTATAATATCATCCACAACTAATTTTGCAAATACATCTACACTTTTAGCACGCACAAAGGTTAGTTCATGTACATTCACACCGCCAAAATCTTGCGGTACGGTGTATTTGTAAGAGCAAAGCATCGGCACAAGCTTTTTTACATTGTCGTTTTCCAATGTTATTTCCAATGCCAAAAGTCTATTTCTAAGATACTTATCAGCATAGTCCTGAAAGTTTTCCTTAGTATCTAGCCTAAAGTATAGCTTTAGCTGATATTTGTCGATGCCTACATTATCCAGTAATACTACTTCTTCAATGGATAGTTCACCTTTCATACCGTCCTGAGTAGTCCAGCTCTCTAGCCATTCCTCTAGGCTATACCAGTTCCAAGCATCTACTTCGGTTTTTCTTTCAGACTGTACATACTTCAATTTACTTGCTAAGGCTATTTTAGCCTTAGCAATGCCCGCCGTGCGGTTGGGGTTATATTCGTGTTTAAACATATTTTCTTTTACGGCTCCAGTAACGTAGTAAAGATTCAGTTGAAATATCATCATCATCAAAGCCATAAAAGTCTTTGAATTCGTAGGTAGCATCTTCCCGATGTTGGTTGAATTTCTTGCGGGCTAACCTCATGTGGCATAGGTATTCGTTAAGCACTTGCTTTCTGATGAATTTTCGAATACGGTCTATAGTATCAGGATGAAAGCATTCTCTTTTCACATTCCTGAGCTTATGCCCTGTAATGTTTATCTCAGCAGTATAGATATAGGTTTCAGCCCTACGCCTTACCAGCAAATCTGTAATGTTTTTGCGTTCTGATTCAAACTCCATAAAGAAGGCATAGATAACCGTGCCTATGAAGTCATCACAAGAATCATCACAGCTTAATTCCAGCAGATTTTTTGCTTTGAGGTACTTGAAAGAGAGCAAATCTAATTCAATTTTGAATTTCATAGTATTATACAACGTTTTCGGTTTTTTGTACAAGAAAAACAAGGTAAAATTTGGAGAACTTTTTTAGCAAAAAGCCCAAAAATCTTGATTTTGTACAACAAAAATTTTAGTGTAATTTTAGACCGAAAAGCCCATTCCAGAAATTCAAATTTTATATCGACGATAACCCAAAAGCACAGGCGTATTACACTTGTGCTTTTTGCATTTTTTCAGGCTTTAATTTACAAAAAATCGCTCGCATCTGCAACAAAACCGACAATTCTATTCACTCAAGCCAGAACTCTGGATACTATAATTTTCAATATTTTTTGTAACTTTGTTAACCATCACTTAAATACCTGATTGTCAATGCTTTAGTAGTTTACAATTTGTATTTTCAATTTGTAACCAAGCCAAATATTTTTGTAACTTCTGTTTTTTTGTCATTTCTCAATTTTCGGTATCTCTTAAAATTTATAATGTTTTTATGTTTTTTGTAACTTTATAAACTAAGTTACAAAATTTATATATTTTATAAACCACAGAAAACCAACACTTTAATCCATAAAAGTTGACAAGGTTACAGAGTTACAAAAATTTTTGAATTTTTGAAGAAGGATTGTAAGGAAAGAGCAAAATCCCCGAAAGTCCACAAAAAAAGCTCCGCATCAGCAGAGCTTTAAATTTGTATTTTATTGTGTTTGTTATTTTGAAATTTCTATATCTAAATCATCCCTGTCAAAACTAAAGGAATCTATTTCTAATAAAGTAATGCCATCTGTGCCATCTAAATTTGGAAAACCTTCATAATTATCAGTTATCTTCCAAATAACCCCTTGTAAGCTATTATTAATAGATTCTTCAATAAGATGTGGGAATAAGTTTCGTAGAAATGCCTTATTGTAGTCTCCGTCGTTGTCTTCTACATTATTTTCCCAGTTGCTAAAAAACTCTACAGATTCTTTTACCCATTTCTGAGCCTCTTCCGTTTCATCAATCTGAATTTTGGCTTCCCACCAATTATCGTAAGTCAAGTTATATACCATGTTGTGTATTTAGTTTAAAATTTAGTTATATTTTATTTATTTTGGCAAGCTGAACACAAATCAGGCTCAACCCACCAGCAGGGATGTCCCGTCTTTTCAATACATTGTGTGCAATCTGTATCAGTGCAGCCACATACTCTGCAATGCGTTTCTTTTTCCGTATGCCCAGGGAATCCACCACCGAAAGGGTCGAAGCCTACACAGTCAGATGATGCGGAAAATAGCTTATGTCCTAATGCTTGGAGTCTTGCAAGTTCCGCTCTTGCTTCTGCATCACTAAGTTCTCTGCCTTGATCGTCGCTAAGATATGTTATCTTTTTGTTCTTCGAGTTTTTGAGCAAACCTTCAATGTTGCAACTCATGTGATATTGTTTACTTGACATCTTTTTAATTTGAATAAATACTGCCTACTACTTCCAAATTTGGTCTCATATAGTGTTCTAAGCTAAACTTTGCGCCTTGTAGTTCGGGTGTATTCCCAGCGTTTGACTGTACCAAACACCAAGTGTCATGCTCAATACTAAACTCTACAATAAACCTATTCCCTTGCTGAGTTTCTAAAATATCTCCCTGCTTAATTTCATTAAGTTTCCAATCTTTAAAGCCTGTTTTTTGCATATTATTTAGGTTTACTTATTTCAAATTCAATTACCCAAACCAGTGGATTCATCTCAAAATAGTATTGCTTATTAATTGAATCCCAAAGGGTTTTATATGATTGAATTGCAGACTCTTTACCAATCATTGTCCCTTTTCTAAAATAATCTCTGTACATTTTTTTTGCTTTGGGTCGTTGAATTACTTCAATTCCTTCTGCCTTTGCATCTACTTCAGAAATATCTTTGAGATGCTCTACTCTGATATTCTTAATCGTAAGGTTTATTCTATGAAGACTATAAGGCATAAATAACGAAGGTTTCCATTTATAGCCATCTGGCAAATCATGTTTACTACAAACATTAGCTCGGTAAATTATTATATCATCTTTTTGGCTAAATGTTTCTTTTACCCACAATTCATCACCAACATTTCCATAAGGACAGCGAATCGTGGGGTTATCATCGCCATTGCTATAATCAATCGTTAATACTCCATCCTTTAGCCTAGTTTGATAATAATATTCATCATCAGGCTGTATTTTTACGATTCTTCTGGTCTGGCTTTTTGTTCCATTTAGAATCGCTTTTACCATTTCGGTATTAAATAAAATCGGTTTTTTCATCCTTCCAATATTTTAAATTTTGCTTGATAAATACGAATGCCATTGTAATTAATCAGGCTGGAATACAACTCCTGAAGCTCCTCTTCAAAAGTATAGAGTAGTACCAGTTCAATATCTTCCTGCCCTTCTGGCGGATACCAATGAAACGCCATAAATTCTACATCTACAATCTGTATTACACCAAGATATTCAGCAAAACCACCTTCCAGAAATCTATCAATACGGTTTTGTGATGTTTCTTTTCCGTTTTCGTTAGTATCTCCAATCTGTACAACCTTCGCTCCTGGATCTAGCCCAAAAACTTTTCTCTTTTCAATCTCATCATCTGGAATACCAATTAGGCAATACCTGTCTGAGATTATTAGTTTTTTGTAGTTATCCATCTGTATTTTCTCCTTTCAGAATCTCTCTAGGTGCATCTTTTCCTACACTAAGTCTAACACCATTTTCATCTGAGAAAAACACATTTACCATTACGCTCCTAAGTTTTCCTTTCTTTGTTTCCAAAGCTTCAAGAAATACTATATTCTCTTTATGTTGGCATCCTTCACAATAAATCTGGAAATTACTTAAATACCCTTTTGAGCCATTGAATAACACGCTAAACTTATTTCCTGTCTTTTTGTAGCCAATAGCACATATAGCATTAACTGTTGATAACATTTCAATTAATCCTAATCTAAATCTTAGTAATAGTTGTTCTTTCATCACCCTATCATCTTTAGTTTCCCAGCCTTTACCTCGGCTGTAAAGGTTTCGATAGCTACTACTATCATTTTTTTCTTAGTAAAGTCAGCAATGTGCAGCTCTGTTATTTGGTAGTTTCCTGATAGGTTTCTACCAAACTTATCACAAACAAAAAGCTGACGGCTACCATCATCATTTTGCCAAAATGAATGATTTGGTATTAGGTTTTCTTTCATTTTTTTCGATGGATTTTTGAGTTCAAATGCCCTGAATAGGCTTGTTTCGTGAAAAAGGTTTTACCACAGCATTCTACAGGCTGAAACTCTTCAAACAAATTCTTAACAAGCGGTTCACGGTTTACTTTTTTGAATTGGTACTTCTGTAATCTTTCGGCTTTTACGGGTTTAAAGTCTGGCTCTGGCTGAATATGCCCTAACTCCTGTTTTACCTGCCGTACAAGTCCTTCTGCTTGTGTTAGGATTAGAAGGAGCGTAGATTTCCTAAACGAAGTAGTACCTAGCTCCTCCCTAAGTTCTACAATTTTATTGAGCCGAAATTCGATGTCTTTCATATCATAAAATTTAATGTGATAAAAAGTTATGAATAGCTACTTCTAAAGCCTCTAAAGATTTCTTTGAATAAGTAACCTCCATTTTCACATTGTGATAAGTAACATTAAATGTGGCTACATAAACATTTCGCCCAATTATTTGATAACTCTCTACATCATTTTCCGCAACCTTTTCCTTGTTTTTAAGCTCTGCTAAAAACTCCTCACTAAATTTAAAATTTGCCATGTTTCTAGGTTTTATTCCCCATCTCTATCTGAGATGGGGAGAAGATTAAAAGGTTACTCTACACACTATACGCAAAAAATATTTATACTACTATTTCTAAGATTTTTGGGCAAAAAACCCTTTCTACTGGCTATCCTGAAAGCAATCTTTACCGTTTTGGCACGATACTTTTTCGACCGCAAAACTCCCTTTGCCGTCAAACACTCTATCGTTACTTTCATTATTTTACTCGGTAACAGTCAATATTGATACTACTATGAATACTAATCGTCACGTGGGTTGATGCTTCATCAGTTTTAACAGGCAAAAAGTCGAAAACTAAATTTTGATATGTTTTTAGCAAATGCACAAGCATTGCTTGTAATTCATCTAAAGAATTAATAACAGTACGGTCAAATTTCTGAATCTCTTCATGAACTTTCGGCACTACAGGACTATTGTCTATTGTCTCATGCGTTACCTTCACAAACCACATAATACTACTTTCAATAAGCTTGTCCGGGCGAGGGGCTATCAAATAACCCCTCTGCCACAATTCGTTTTGTAGTGTCGGTATTTCATCCTTCACATCTACGCTTTCCAAATCTGAAAAAGCTTTCATCAATGAATCTGCCAAATCATCATTGAAATTTTCAGGCATTACCTGATAGTACTTTTCTAATTTACTCATAACTTGCAACTGGTTTTAAATTTAAAATTTGGACTATTGGACAGTAGGTAAGTTATCAAGGCTTCTACTGTCCATTTTTTTTTAATTGTGATTTAGTGAATTGTGATTTAGTGATTAACCTGAAATA